GTTCAGCAGAATTTACAGCAGCTAATGATTATATTATAAATAAATTATGGAAAGATATGGAAAAAAGATCACTAATACCTAACTAATCAGTATTTTTAAATCTTTGATTTATAGAAGATCAGCTGAATTTAGAAGAACACACTTGATGGCTAGTTAGATTTAGAGAGCAGTTATCTGAGTGCAAATATGGAAGCAAATAATGAGTTGGTTTCAACTAGATTTTATCATGAAAAAATCAAATTAATTTAAAAGCATGTAATTATCTAAGCATGTAAATAAGTATTTTGTGGTTCCAGAACCCTAAAACTTTGTATTTTGACTAGACTGACTTGTGTCAGTGGCACCTGAATGGAAGCAAATAACAACCATAATAACTTAAATCTGAAAATGCCACAGAGCCAAATGTGCTGTTGGCGTCCATTCAGACGTAACTCCTAGACCAGTGATTCTACAGGACACTGTCAACACCTGTTCATATTCAAGTGAAAAATGTAATTTGTCTGCCTGAACAAACATATCTACTCATAACCTCTAGAGTCCCTGCGTCCTCATATGAGGACCGCACAGCTTGGGTTTCCAAAGCTCAGGACTCTAGAGGTTAAGGTCAGCTGTGAAGCCATGCATCACGCGTGTGTCTGTTGCCATAATGAACCAAAACAGTGAAGGTAATACAAACATTTTAACATCATTATGTCCAAAAACTGCAGCATGTGTGTTTAAAACTATTCTCTATCCAACTCTCTGCCCTGGTTTGGTTGAGGCTGTGGTGGCAGCACTGCAACAATTACTGACTGGTTACTGGTCCGGTTGTTAGCTGGAGCTCAAGAAGAGAAAATCTCACGTTTTCAGCACACGTTTTCAGCGTGTGTCCGCCCACCTAAGGATTGAAAGTAATGGTCTGGAGTTGATTTAAGCAGTCAGTCAGATACTCTGCCCTCAATATGACATTACGTAATAATGGAGCTTTGTTGAAAGCAAGACACCAGGCAGTCTGTGTCCTCACCTGATGCATATTACTCAAACTGCTATGAAAAGGAGAAAGACGAGAATGTGAACATAATCTTAAATACTATGGAATCAAACCAAAGTATTAAATAAAACCCAGTTCAAGCAAGAAAAATTAGGATCATAATATTGATCCCTCATACAGTAAACAGGATTTCCACTGGTATGCATTATGTCTGCAGGTGATGCATCATCAAACCTCAGCTTGACTCACCTCCAATTGGGCCGATCTTGTTGGTGATGGCATATCTAAGGACCCTCTCTTCCTTCACATACATCATAAACACCCTCTCCACGGTGAGCTGCAGAGTCTCCAGGGTGGCAGCACGGGTGGCATGTTGACAGTCACGGAAGGTGATGTTCTGTTTCAGCTGAAAGGAGAAGGACTCTGAGCCTCGCTCTGCTGAAACTAGTGAAAACTCCCTCATAGAGATGGAAGTGACAACTGCAGAAAGACAAAAAAAGGTTTTAGTGAAAAACGGCCAATATATGTTATGAAGAATGTGTCTCTGGTGGTTGTTATGTTACCGGAAGGGTAGTACTGGTAGGTCTCCTTGAAGGGATCCATAGTAACTTCAGCTCCAGGAGGCAAGAAGGGCACGTTGCCACTGACTACAGTGTCCACGGTGAGGTGGTTATGATTGTCAAGGCCACGGCCCGTCTGGACAATTGACAGATGCTGGTTGCCAGGGTAAAAGATCACCTCTGCATTACGAGTGAACTCAGCACCTAGTAACGCAGTTAGTCAACTAATCAATCAACACTTCTTTTGTTTGTCTATTTATAGATCATTTTCATTACACATTATTATTGCAGACAGATCAAGGGGGAGACCAGTTACATTTTAGACAAAGTGGAATGTCTGCAGTGGTTACATCCGTACAAAACACACACAGCAAAACAAACAAGGCACAGCTGTTTCCTATTAGAGAAGGGAGGTGGACACCTGATATCACATCACATCCCTGAAGACAATACAGCTGGGTGGGAGGCTGACAAAACACATATACACACAAGATGACCTTGATGGAGAGGAGTTCCCTCATCCCTTTACAGATTTGCTCTGGAGATAAGATGTACAAGGCAGCAAATAGAACCAAGCACAAACACACACTGTTTACCTGTATCTTTGAATCCAGCTTGGCTATTGGGCAGCTCCAGAGCAAACAGCCATCCAAACAATTCTCCTATAGCTGCAACTGGCATCAGAGCCCAGCCCACTGGCTCAGGGACCTGCCCAATCAGAACAAGGCTTCCAAATCAAATCAAAATGAAATTTGGAGGATAATCTAATCTTTTCACAGGTTTGAGATTTAAAAAAAATGTATATGTGTATACACACACACACACCCCCACTTTGGGGTGGTCTGATTCCTGTGATAGCTGACTGGGTAGCTCAGTGGCTAACACCACTGACTTTGGTACAGACGGTCAGGGGTTCGAACTGGTCCAGTCAATATCCAGCCTGGGTCCTTAGGCAAGGCCCTTAATGCTACCTGCCTACCTCATGGGTAATGAGAGCTGGAAAAATAAGAGTCATGTTACCCGGGTCAACAAGGTCTGCGTAAGGCGACAAGAGATGAGAACAGGGAACTACTATACAAGCCACCCCAGCAAGAGGGGATAAATACGGAGGATGTGGGCTCTATGGATACTCCGAAACCCAATATCTAAACTAACATTGAAACAAATAGTAACATCCGCAAGAACCACCTGCTATCACAATTAGAGGTTGACAAGGTACAACACGGATGCTCCAGCAAGGTCAGGGGGGGGATATTATTATCACCTCCACATTTGGAGATTGGGTACCAAGCCCAGATGAGCTTAATTCAAGAGCAGCTGACCTGAGATTGACCATCATGAGCAAGATGGACACCAGGAACCTCTGTGGGCCGTTACCAAGACTAAGAGAAGTGCCTTCTACTAGAGGATGTGAATTCAGCACTAAGAACAATCCCTACTACGACCATCACTGAGACTAACAAGCAACCGTCATCCTTGAGATGCTTGGCTATAAGTTCAACAAAGACCATAAGGAGCAGTATCCCTCATGGAGAAGGAGGTTGGAGACCACGATCAAAGCAGCGAGGACAGAAGTTAGCCAGCTATCAGAATTGCAGAAAGGTGTTATGAAGAAAGGGGTACCTAAGAAGTACAACACATTGTCCATATCTGAGGCCTTAGAGACTGTCAGGCTCACAGCCCTGGCCACCCAGTTGAATAGGTGCACTAGAGAAGTTGAAGCGAGGAGAGTAAACTGAATGTTCTCCACTGATCCAGCCAAGGTGTACGCTCAGTAGCAGGGTAATAACATGAGAGCAGACCCACCAAGGCTGGAGACTGAACAATTGGGAAAAGGAAGCATCACAAAACAATAATGCTCAATGGCTTGTGGACCTAAAAACAGACCACAGCAGCCTCCCTGAACAAGACCCAGTAATCATCACAATAGCAAACATCCAAGAAAAGCCGGACAGCAACAGGCCCTGACATGATCCATGCCTACTGGTTAAAGAAACTAACTTCACTCCATGAGCACCTGGCAGGGCAAATGAACCAGCTACTAATGGATGGAACTCACCCTGAGTGGTTAACTGAAGGCCGGACAGTCCTGATCCTGAAGGACCCTCAGAAGGGAGCAGTACCATCCGACTACCGCCCAATTACCTGCCTCTGCACAACATGGAAGCTCCTGTCAGGCATCACAGCAGCTAAGATGAGCAGGCACATGTCTCAATACATGAGCAGGGCCCAGAAAGGAATTGGTAGTAACACCAGAGGAGCAAAGCACCAGCTACTGGTTGATAAAGTAGTCACTCGAGACTGCAAGATCAGGCATACCAACCTGTGCACTACCTGGATTGACTACAAAAATGCCTATGACTCAATGCCTCACACATGGATCCTGGAATGCTTGGAACTGTACAACATCAACAAGACTCTAAGATCCTTCATCAAGAACTCAATGGAAATGAGGAAAACAACCCTAGAGGCCAACTTCAAGCCAATTGCACAAGTCAACATCAAGTGCGGTATCTACCAAGGAGATGTTCTGTCCCAGCTGCTGTTCTGCATAGGCCTGAACCCCCTCAGCCAGATCATCACCAAGAGTGGTTACGGATACAGACTACGGAATGGAGCAACCATCAGCCACCTCCTCTACATGGATGACATCAAGCTGTATGCCAGGAGTGAACGAGACATCGACTCACTGATCCACACCACTAGGATCTACAGCCAGGACATCGGAATGTCATTCGGACTGGATAAGTGTGGTCGAATGGTAACAAGGAGAGGGAAGGTAGTCAGAACTGAGGGGATTGTACTACCAGAAGGCAACATAACAGATGTTGAGGACAGCTACAAGTGCCTTGGGATCCCGCAGGCAAATGGGAACCAGGAAGAGGCTGCAAGGAAAGCAGCAACCACCAAGTACCTGCAGAGAGTAAGGCAAGTCCTGAGAAGTCAGCTGAATGGAATGAACAAAGTCTGGGCGATTAACACCTACGCCCTTCCGGCCATCAGGTACCCAGGTAATAAGCTGGCCAAAGGAGGAGATAGAGGCCACTGACATCAAGACAAGGAAGCTCCTTACAATGCAC